ATTTGAAATCCAACATATAAAGTAGTTAACTCTCCGAAGACACAGGGAGACAACAAATTATTACATGCTAAATAAAGCGCTGAACATTGTTTTTGTACTTAAACAGATTCTTATCCCAGGGTAGCCCTCCTCCAAGCTGATCAGAGGTAAGCTCTCAAATAGAGGAACAAACCATGATTCAGCACATTTAAAAAGGATTTATACCCATTCTTAGAAGGACACCCAGAGGAAACACCATCTGAGGTCTGAACAATGGTATCTGCTTGCCCTTTGATCTTAGTTTAAGAACACTTTGTACAACTTTTTTTTTTGTTGAAATGCCACTGAATTTCAGATTTACTCTTTGTAATCTCTTTAGAAGAACATCCACTGCTTCTTTGAATCACACTCTTGCAACCAAATTCTCCAAACTGTTTTTGCTGTGAGTAGCTTGCAGGCATGGATTTATTTTCTGCTAACAAAAATCTTCATAAGTACAGGTAGCTTAAACGAAAAACAGTACTACTGATGCTATGTTTAGGAGAAAGAGATAGTGCAGCATATCTAGTTACAAATACAAGTAGGGAGTATTCCATTTTTCTTCTCATTTATGTTTCCCAAGAGTAATTTTGTTCAGAAGATTGCCACTACTTTTAGCACAAATTTCTTGCTGCTTGTACTAATATATACTGATTCCCTTTTCTGAGCATCATTTGAGTTTTTTAAAATTTCCATTTAATCCTAGCATTTGGAGATCAATACCTCGTGAATTCAAATAAACAAGTGAAATCTGAAATGCAGATATTTAATTAAATGTTTTTACTACTCTCAAATGTAATGCATATTACAAATTAACATACTTATAGGTGACTAATAAAAAAGGTATATTAATAAAGCATGATGATTTACCTCAAATACTGTGAACCTTCCTGTCCTAAATGTCTTCACTTTAAACTTTTTCCTCAACAAAAATCAGGTATACCTTTCTAAATAATCAAATCTTCCAGATCAGTGAAATATGAATTTGAAGTATGGGCTATGTCTATATTTTCACTAATTCAGTCTTTTCAAAGCACCTTCCATGGGGTCAGCATTATGTTAGGCACTTGGGCTACTGTGGTAGGTTAGAATGGTTTCCGCCTTTAGAGGCTGACATCCTATGGGGGAGACAAACAAATGAGTAAGCAAATTTAACAAGAAAAAAAAAAACGTGTGATAAGTACAAGGAAGGAAATAAGCAGAGCGCTGTCATGGTACAGAAGTGGGTGGGATGGAGGCATGACCAGTTTAAAAATACAGAGTGGCAGAGAAGGTCTCTCTTAGGTGAATTTTAAGCTAAGACCTGAAGGATACCTCTCCAAGGTCACCAAATTGGCAGGGATGCTGACTAGGCTGCCAAGACATTTTTAGCATTAGAAAACAAATAGAAAATGGCATCTGTGGCCCTGAGTGAATGCAAGTTCACGAGCTCACCCAGGCACTCTGCACACCAGCAACCCAGGCAGCAGACGGTTAGTATTTAGAAGGTGACACATCCCAGTCTATTCACCCAGAAAGAGTTTGAAACAGTCAACATAAACAACAATGAGCTGGTTGGATGACCAGCACTTGCGCTATGAGAGAGAAATTTATCCTGTTGATTCATACTTCCTGATTGGCTGGCTGGCTTACAAGGCTCAGGGTGTTTCAAATGTATTTCATGAGTAAATTATTCCCCCAGTCCCAGGGAAGTCGGATGTTTACAACTATGTAATACTTTCCCTTGTACTTCCAGTTTGTAATTTACTTAACCTAGTAGGTATAAGAGTACTTTAAAACACAGTGCTGTAATGTTTATCTTTCTGTAGATTCTTTAATAGATGAGTCCGGTAATATGGCAGTTAACATGGCATTGACACCAATTAGGAAATCTGTAATTCTCCAGTATCCCTATATAGAGAATCCAACATTGGTACGCAATAACTTTTTTCAAATGAACTGTCCTTCTTACGTTCAGAGTCATGGCAATCAGATTTTACCCCATTCTAGCCTCTCATGATGAAATACCCCTTTCTTACTGCTAAATGGATTAAGATGAAATAGAATTGCTTCATTGGCAGGTGGCATGGCTTGCTGCTTGGATTCTACTTACCTGCAAAAGGTCTTCTCTTCATACTATCAGTATAGAGTCCAGAACTGGACCTACAGTAGCTATAACTTGTACAAGGAGCCCAGTGATGGGATATGAGGGGCTTGGGGTAGAATTCCCATCCTAGAACTCTTTCAGTTCCATGTCAGCCTGTCCTGGGGCCCGGAATTGCACTACTGGGTGAGTTCTCTTGAAATTTTTCAGGAGATATTTTTTATATCTTTCAAAATCCTTTATGAAAAATGTTAATATCCCTAAGGAGATAATATGTTAAAACATCACCCTAGCAGGATTAGTTGACAGCCAGCTTTAAGCAGTGTGACTTAGAGGCAGTGTGTCAGAGAAGCAAAGGAATAAGGGGAATTTGGGGGTCACTAAATACAGTAAATGTGACTGTACTTTACAAACTCGCCTTAGGCCCAGCTCTTGAAATTTCAAATACCATCTAAGGCAGTGGTTTCCAAACACTGACATCACCTGAGATCTTGACAAAACACTGACACTGCTGGGCATGGTGGCACACTCCTATCTTCCCAGCAACTCAGGAGGCTGAGGAAGGGGGATTGCTCGAGGCCAGGAGTTTGAATCCAGCCTGGGCAACGTTAGGAGATACTCTTTATTTTTGTACAAAAAAATACTGCTACCTGGTTTCCACCTCCACACATTCTGATTTGATATGGAGTGACACCTGGGCATCTGGATTTTTTTAAGGTGTTCCCCCCCACCTCCCACGTAACACCCAGGTGATTCTAATGTGTAGCAATGTTTGAAAGTTTTGCTCTTCATCTCTTACTGGGATAATGTATCCATTTCCTTCAGACACGAGGATCTCCTGTGCCAGTGTTTCTTGACCATGGTAGCATGTTAGAAAAACCTAAGGTACTTTAAAAAAAATGATGCCTGTGCCCCATCCTCAAAAGATTCTGACGTAACTGATCTGGGTCTACGTAGTGACCCTAATAACCCTAGATCTCTAAGTCCCCTGGGTGATGCTACAGGGCAGCTAATCCTGAGAACCTCGGTCCAAGCCCAGGAATTGTTTTCCCAGGGACTGTAACACGATTCTCTGCGAAGTAGCCAGGAGTGCCAGTCTTCCTCCCCGTTGTCCAGGTTAGGACTACCCCCAAAAGGCAATAAAACATTTCCCCAAAGCTGCCAGGAAACCTGGGGGCGGGGGAGGGGGGTGGAAGGAGAGGAGAGGAGAGGAAGAGGGCAAGGGGAGGAATTTACTGAGTCAGAAGCAGCAGAAAAGTTAGAATAAGGAACAGCGCTGGTCCTCTGCCACCCTGGCCCCCACCCACTACAAATTTTATTGACTGGCATGAGAATTTCCTTAGAATGCTTCCTGGAGGTGGCTCAACCTTGGATTTGGTTCCAATAAATTGTGAAAATTCTTGTCCAATCAGAACCTCGGGCAGTGCAAGCTGCCAGATTGGCAGGCCCTGAGCCTGGACTCCCTGTGAGATTCTGTTTCACGAATTTCCCAGGAGGATTTCTGCACCACTTGGATGCCAATCGTCCTGCCTCCACATCCTCCCCTCCCCCCCTTGGCTCTTACCCCCCACGTTCTCTCCCTCAAAGCTCAGCGGAGTTGGGAATCATAGATAGGCTGGTAAAGAAATCACCCAGATAGTCTAAGCGGGAATCATTCCGGTAAGTAATGCCGTTAAAAGACGAGCGTCTTTGACGTGGCTGGGAGACGCGTGTGCTCCTTTGGCGAGTGTCTGCTCACCCACTCCAGGGCCTGGGCACAGCCACTGTCTCACATGGGAAGGAGGCCCGCGAATACCCACCCCGCCACGCAGCTGCACCCATCCCGGGCGTAGCCACTGCACACCTGGTCTGCCCGCCGACAGCGCGTCCCTCCATCCTATGTCTGCGCTAAATTAAGTCAGCTTATGAATGAAAAGCAGTGCAAACCGGAGGCGCTCACTCCGAAGAAAAGAGTCTTCTTCGCACCCTTCTGATTTACAGATGAGAAAACTCAAGGGGGTGGGAGGGGGGAGAAAGGGCGATGTGACTCGGTCCGGGTTTGCCACAGAACATTTGTGGCGGAGCTCGATTTAGCCGCCCTTGAATTTCCATTCTGTTGCCTGGCAACCGGTTCAGAGGAGCTCAGCGCCCAACCCCGGCCCCTACCCCGCACCCTTTCTCTGCCCGAGCAGCTTGGGCTGCATCGATCAAAGGTTCAGCCTTTGGGGACAATGGCCAAGGGCATGTGAGCGGGGGCACAGGATGGATTACCCGAGCTGAGCTTTCATCCCGCCCCAAATAGGAGCGAGCCCCGCCCGGGCGGGATCCGAGCGCCTTCTGCGGTGCTTTCGGGACTTTCCTCTGCAACCTCTCCCAGTGCCGTGGATACCTCTAAACATACTCATGCCAAGTTTTCAAAGTTCCCAACCGCTGTCGGATTCCCTAAAAGTCTCGGTGGGAAAACTGCACTCTGAGGTAAGGGGCAAAAGAAGTCAATTTAGAGGGAATAATCGTACTGAAGAGCCCTCTTACCAGGATGGCCACACTCAGGCTGGACTTTTCTGCTGCAGTTGAGTTAACCTGATCAGAGCTGGGCAAGAGTGAAAAAAAAAAGCGCGGAACGTGCTCAGGGAGTCCGCAAAGACACGCCCGCGGGGACAGCGCTCCCGGAGTCCCGTGTCCCGGCCGGCCAGCCGCCTCTCGGGGCCTCGGCGTGCAGCCCTGCCCGCTGCGCGGGGGAGCGCATGTGCAGCCCACCGCCGCGCAGGTGGCGAGAGCACAGCCTGCCTGTCCCCGCGTCCTCTAGAGCTACAGGCGGGACCCGCGCGCCGGGAGCTCCTCCACTCCCTCACTCCACCCCCTGGGCCCGGGACTGAAAAGGGGGAAATGTTCTCGTCATTAGGTTACCCCAAATCCTTACCCAGGTTCACAAAGCTCATGACCATGTCTGCGTCGTTGAGGAAGGCGCTGTCCTGCGCGCTGGTCAGTGGGGACGCGCCGCCGCTGCCAGGTCCGGGGGCCAGGAGGCTCTTGCGGTTGAGCGGGTGCGCGGCGCCCGGGGCCGGCTGCCGAGGCTGGGACGAGCTGGCTCCTTCGTGGGGCCAGGGCTGCTGCCTCTCCCCCTCCGACGCCCCGTCCTCCTCGTCGTCGGCGGACAGGGCGTTGTACAGATCCAGCATGAAGAGGGGCGCGGACTTCAGCTGCCCGGGAGGGGGCTCTCCGCGAGGCGGCTGCTGCTGCTGCTGCTGCTGCTGCGGGAGCGCCGGGGGCTGCGGCTGTTGGAGGCCGTGCAGGGGCCGGGGCCGGTGTGGGAGCCCCAGCACCGACAAGATCTCCTTCTGCATCTCCCGCTTCTCGTGCGTCTTGAGCCGCCGGTAGAGGAAGCCCGAGGAGGATTGCGGCGACGGCGGCGGCTGCTCCGTGCGGCCGGGGCTCCCGCCGTCCCCCAGCAGCTGGCCCCCGGCGGCGGCGGCCGCGGCAGCGGGCAGGGGCGGCCGCAGCGGCGGGGGCCCGCAGCAGCTGCACAACAGCCCCCACCACCAGCACAGCCACTGCGCCCTCCGCCCCAGCCCCGGCATCCCCGCCCGGCCGGGCTGCCCCCGCGGATCCCGCGAGGCGTGGAGCGGCGGAGCGAGGCTGGAGCACGGCCGCTGTGGCCCTTGGCGTGAGCAGCCCCCGCCACCTCTCGGCGGGCTCGCTTCCCCTTCCTGGCCCTCAGTCCTTATCTCTCATGGTCGTCCGGGGCGCCCCCAGTTGCCCAGGATAGAGGGGTGGCGAAGGGGCGATCACCGGGAGAACCGCTTGGAGGGGAGGAAGGGGAGCCCCACAGCCCCGCGCAGGTCTCTAGAGGCGCGCGGTACAGGCCAGGTGCGTCCGAGTCCGGGCTGCGCTGCAGTCTGCGCCCTGGCTCCTGGGAGGGTCGCGGCGCGGTCACTCTGGGCCTCGCTGGACGCTCACGTGCGCTGCCCCGCGCCCTCCCTGGCGGCTGAGTGGGACCCGGGGCGGCGGGGTAGCGGGGCGGCTCACGAGCTGCGGGAGATGCCCGGCATCACCGTGGCGCACGCCCCTCCCTGGATTGCAGGGCCACTGTGAAGTTTACCCCGGCGCAGGGCCCACGCTGCGGCGACAAGGCGTCCCCAAATGCCAGTCTATTCCGTGAGGTTTAACTTCGTTCTTGCTCACGAACTCCGCGCCCCTGAGCCCTCGGTCACCGTCGCTCCCCCTCAAAATCTCCGCGCGCCGCACGCCTCAAGTGGAGGCGGCGAGGATCTTGCTTTCCGTTCGGCGCTCGCCCGGCTGCCCAGCAAACCCGCTCGCAGAAGGGATGGGAAGGAAGGGGGCCAGTGCACCCAGCAGCAGCCGCGGCGGAGGCGCTGGAATTCGCAGTCTCCAGCTTCTCCACGCCGCGCTTCCCGCAGCGGCCAACGTGGGCTTTCTGCGGCGCGCCGCGCTCAGGTACCGCACTCCAGCCCCGGGACTCCCCGCCCCGCGGTAACCGACAGGCTAGCAGCCAATCGGGACCCGAAGCTCGCGGGCTATTTAAATAGCCCCGCCCCTTCTTTCACCCTCCCTCTCCCGAGAGGCGTCGCCTCCGCGGCGCGTAGGTTTCAAGACCCGGGAATTCTTGGAGGCAAGCGGAGAGCCGCGAGGTGTCAAAGGCTAAAAGGTCGTCGCTAGTAAGAATGATCTGACCAATACCCCCCGATCTGAAACTTTCTCTTTTACCATCGTTTAAAAGGCCTAAGTTGATGCTTTAACTAAATAAAAATAATAACAGCGATTAAATCACCATACTGCCAGAATTGAGGAAGAAAAGAAAAATGATAGCTTTTCCATCCCTTCCTTAGTTTCTCTTATTGATGTAATGGAGGCGTTTAGCGGACACGTGGCTTTCCACGGCAGCTGCTGGAAGTTGGGACACACCCTCTGGGAAGGCTACTCACAAACTGACCACAGAGAGGGCCACATGTAACCCAAGCCAGCGTCCTGAGGGTTTGGGGTCGCATGTGTTGACTTATCTGTTCATTTGGGCTTTGGTTTGGCTTCTTAAGCTACACCCAAGAGAAAGAGGGTGTATTCAGACAATATATTAGAAAAATCGTCCCCTGTCTTCTTGGAAATGACTCAGTGCTTCTCCAGCTTATCTATTAATGTTGCATTTTAATATTGAAATACAATGTGACTTATATGGTGCAAGATAAAACTTGAGGAGAGGTGATAAAGATAACTCCAGGAAGAGCAGGGGCTTGGCATGCACTCTGAATGGTCAGGACAATAGATAGGGTCCTGAAACACAGGTTGCTGCGGACTTTAGGCAAGATAACACCACCACCAACACCATTTGCCAGTGAGGACGCAAATTCATTTGCCTTTACCCGCCCAAGAACATCCAGCCGTCTATGGATCGTGGAAGCAAATTCACATAAAACATTAAGGTTTTTTACCTGGTGAAAATCGTGTGGCATAGAAAATAAAAACTGCAGTTTTCTGACTTGCCAGCCTTAGTCCAAATGGTCCTAGGCATTTGAGAGTGAAGTCAAATAGATTATAGACTGTGGGATTCATGAATTTATGACATCATAGGCTTTCTGCTGGTCCAAATCTTATAAGCATTCCTATCCTATTTCCAAGAATCTATTTCTTATGGGTAAAAGTCTTTACCTCCAACCACCCACTGAGTCCTTCTTTCTAGTTCTGTCTTGGCCCAGACACAAGTGGTCATTTAGAAGAGTCTTTATTTCTACAAATATCTGATAGCTATTAATTTCAGGCCACAAAACTGAGCACCCCTGAATGCCAGTCTTTAACCACCTCTACAGGGATTTCTTCCATCTGAAAAGATAATACGATACTTCGTCTGGGATGTCAGGATCCTCAGAATTCAAGAGCCCTGTCACTTCTTTTTTCTGTATGGAACATGTTAGGGACATAAATTCACTGCAGTGCCCCACAGCAGCCAAGAGCTCTGCTCAGAAGGTCTGAAATTCCAGCAAATACACCTAGGCTTCCTGCCAAGAGCCTCCTTTTTTAAAACCTAGTTGCACCTTCTTCATAAGACTTCTGGTGAGATGCAGGCTGAGTAAAAGACTTTCCACCTATGAGGGCAGTGGGGAAGACACAGGAAACTCAACATTTCAGACATGGATGAGGGCACCTTGGTGGGGCTATGTCATTTAAAACACAAAATCAAGGTGTGACCGACCTATTGTAGAGGTTGAGCATCCGTAACCCAAAAATCTGACATCCGAAATGCTCCAAAATCTAAAGATTTATGAGAGCTGACATGATGCCTCAGATGGAAAATTCCACACCTGACCTCATAGGATGGGACGTGGTCAAAACACAGTCAAAATTTTCATCCACAAAATTATTTGAAATATTGTATTAAATTACCTTCAGGCCATGTATATGAGATATATATGGAACATAAATGAATTTCATGTTTAGACTTGGATCCCATCCCTAAGGTGTCTCATTATGTATATGCAAATATTCCAAAATCTAAAAATCTGAAATTTGAAATACTTCTGGTCCCACGCATTTTGGATAAGGGATACTCAACTTGTATATGCATCTATGGGGTGGACCTAGTGCAGAACACACACACACACACACACACACACACACACGCAATCTCTCCCTTTCCTTAGACACTTAGAAGTAGATGGGTTCGTATGACGTGAGTCTAAAGTGACTATCAACTAAACATCTGAGCAGCAACTCTGATTCAGGTCTGTCGCAGGCTTCCTACCCCACCAAGATGGACCCTCAGTTTCTGTCGAATAGGGCTAGAATGAGGAGGTGTTGAGGGTGCTTCCAGGTGATGAACATGAGAACACACATCTCCCTTAAGAGCCAGAAGAAGCCCCCAAAAAAGATGTGTAGTGAGCCATTATAATGATCACAAGGACAGTGACATCCAACTAAGGATGTGCTCCTCTTCTCTCCACTATGACTCGCAACATGTGCACATCATGTTTGCGGAACACATGCAGGCAAGCCCTTGTATCCATTGGGAAAAAGGGGACAGGAAAAGAGATACAGTTCTAGGATTTTAATAGCCTCAAAATTGGGACTACTGTTTCTCCAAGCCAATTAGATCTCCAGGTGGATAAAAATCCCCTAAAGTACACCTTGTCTACTCCCTGCTTCTGAGACCCTTCCCCATTAGACACCCCCAGTGCTCCCCTGGAAGCCTCAGGACAGGGAGCTAGACAACGTCCACACGTGATTCAAGAGGAGGAGACGTGGTGGGTGGAGTTGGAGGGACAGAAACAGATCTGGCTTTGAAGTCCGCTGGAATGTATGAACCGACTTGTTAAAATTAGAGGTAACTTCGCCCCCTGCAGGACACCAAAATATTACCGCCCCTTCCTCTGTGGGCCTGGGACAAGCTTCATTAAGTTCTCTGTGAGTGTTTCTAAAACATCTGGGTGGAAAGAGGAGGAATTCGATCAAGAAGCCGGATGTGGGAGCCAATCCACATCAAACATCTGGTTGCTTGGCTGACATTTCATGCAGATGGCCTTCAGTTTTCTGGCAATAGGTTTCCTGTCCCATCTCCCTGCCCCACTTAATGAAGAAATGAGGAACCCTCACCGAAAAGCACAGGTTCATCCCATACTTCCAGTGATAGCGGGAATAGGATGGGAATTTTGTCTTCAAGTGTTTATTAAGGCACCATGTAATTCACACAACAAATCCTTTAAACCTGTAGTTGTCCTTGTTCCTTATATATTATGAGGGTTTCTGTTATACATTTATAACACACTTGACCAAATAGTTTCTATTTTGTAAACATGCTGTTTATTAATTTGACATATTAAACACATATTCTATATTATAGTATTAGCAATAAACTGCAACTTCAGTCTTGGGTTTTATATTAAATTTTACATTGGCCCCTTTCAACTGCACTTCCTGAAGATGTAAGTTGCTCCTTTCAGAATTAACTTAATAAAAATATCTTGGCCAGGCATGGTGGCTCATGCCTGTAATAGCAACACTTTAGGAGGCTGAGGTGAGCAGATCACCTGAGCCCAGGAGTTCGAGATCAGCCTGGGAACATAGTAAGACGTCGTTTCTACCAAAAAAAAAAAAAAAAAATTAGCCGGGTATGGTGGTGCACGCCTGTAGTCCCAGCTCCTCAGGAGGTTGAGGTGGAAGGATCGCTTAAGCCAGGGGGGTGGAGGTTACAGTGAGCCCAGATCACCAGATCACGCCACTGCACTCCAGCCTGGGTGATAGAGCGAGACCCTGTCTCAAAAAAAAAAAAATCATTTAAACTGTGTGGCTGTCATGTTTACAAGACTGAGGTCAAGCCTCCTTGAATTCTTGAGAAGTTCCACTCAAAAGACCAACTTTTTATCTTTACTATTAGCATAAGGACCTGAATACTTCTTAATGTTAATTTCAAAATATAATAATTTGATCAAATTTTTAAAATATTGATTTAGTTTTGAGTGGAAATAGGTAAATGGTTGCAGAGTACGAGAAATGAAAATTTGCGAGTGAAATAAGTATTGCTTCTGAAAGCTACACCTGTAAGACAGCCTTCAAAAGCCATGTCTCATCCAAAAGTCTGTGGTAACATTTACATTCAGTCACACTCCGCTTTCACTGTCTACTCAAAAATGCTGGGCATTCACACTTCAAAATATCATTCAAGTCATCATATTTTCCTACTCATGAAGGACATCTGGTGGCAAAGTGAAAAACTAATACATAAATCTGTTTCCAGAGATTTTTTTCCACACTGTAACCCAAATAGCAAATCTGTTACTTGTACGTGTTTCAAACTTTTCACACAAGCTCAGATCTCTATGATCCTAGGATTTAGGCTGTCTACACAATATTAAGCAATGGAATATTTCGAGACATCCAGATGATTAAATCATTTGTGAAATTTTCATTGAGTAATTAACATGTGCAGACTAAGTCTTCATTTTTTTTTTCTGAGCAAAACAATGCTTAACACATTTCCATGACTAGTTTTACTGTCCCTGAAGAGCTTTATTCCAAGAAATGATTGGACACTTAGGTCAACTGGGGTGCATAAGGCTCCCTGGCCTGTGCTGGCCTCAGAGCTTCAGTCCATCTTGTGACCCCACTCTGTACCTCCTGTCGTGGATGTGTCTCTGTGTCACTAGGAGGTAACCTGAAAATATAACATTATCCTGTTAGCAATCCCCTTAACTAGCAAAGCCATAACCTGTGGCACGTGGAGCCAGGGAAAACCACACTGGTGGTAAAATCAGGTTAAAATGAAAGTCACTGACAGCTTTTTGAAAAGAAGAGAAAGGCTAATTACCCAATCTTCATTCAACACATCTTTCCATGCCTATGTGCCAGGCAGGGGTCTAGGTTTTGGGATACCAAACAGAAATCCTTGCGCACATAGATTCTAGATGGCGAAATGGATAGTAAACAAAGTAACTAGGAAAGTATA